AGATGAGAGATAAGAAAATATCTTATTAGTCCCACTACGGGGAATTTCGCCTGGTTCCAGCAGCAACGATAGACGGTTAAGTTAAGTATGAATAAATAAACACTAAATACTTATCAATATAAATGGAATAAAAACAGGCCTATATATTGAAACAGAATATATGCGGTGAAAAGAAATGTTAAATATGTTCCATGACCTTTTTCCTATTACCTCAGACTGTCTGTTTATCTGCAGCAGAGAAGATGCATCATGAAACGTTTTCTTCCTCCTGATATTAGGCCGCACCATCTGCTTCAGTGATCAGCGTATGAGAGGTGTCATCAATCATCTGCGGTGCAGCGAAGACGTGTCCGCTGTGTTTATTTAAACGAACCAGGATTAGAAATTAAATGTATCTCTGCTCTGTTGTGTTCAGCTGGTGTTGAGTCACTATTTTAAGTGTTTAAAAATCATTGCGAAACCGCTGTTATGAAAGAAGCACTGTTCAATTTTGGAAAAGTGTGGATGTTGGGCAAAGGCTGTTGTGTGGTTTCTTCATCAGGAAAGTTTAGTGGAGCAGGAAATGTTGAGTGAAGGCAGCATGTAGTCAAGTCAGCTTTTCAACACACGAACTAGAGTCCGAGAACTAAGAGTCATGATGGGAAACATTTCGAGAAGGATTCAGTCGCAACTTCAAGTCATTTACCAACCAGCTGCTTTTTACTGACAGGATAAAATCAGGATTTCACCAGAGTAACTGTGAAATCCCCAACTGTCCTCAAGTATTGTTGACCTGTTAACAAGAGTCAAAATCACTTCCCTCTTAGGATAGTCTGTACTGCTGGAAGAATTTCTGTGGAACTAGAGGTTTGTGATGTGAAACTAGCTGGGACAGAGGGCTCTCTTCAGTTTCCTCCTTCAGCTTTCAAATATAGAAAACCTTTTTTTCCAAGAAGCGTTAAAGCTTCTGATTGTGTGGTGACAGATTATCAGCTGTTGTATCACCTCAATTTATTCAGAAGGCAAAGCTCTTACAGGGAATCACGTTATAATGCTGCCTCTCAAATGTTATATGCATTTTAATGTGTTTGGTATCGCATCCTTGGTTTGACTTTTTCCAGCTACAACATGATTTGATTTGGTTCATTCTTCCTCACCAGTTTTAACCCTGCTCCTGTGCTTTTGATCTTTTCTTTAATTCAATCTCTCCATCAAACAACGTCTGATGGAGAGATTGAATTAAAGAAGTCTGAGTCTACATTTAGTCCGTGGTTGTAAAACCTCCTCATTGCAGATATTTTTCGACCAAGTCAAGTTTTTGTTCCTTTTCCTTGATTCAATTCCACAGGAGTTATTTGGTCTGGACTGGTTCTGCCTGCTTCGCCATTATGATTCACATGATGTTTGTGCAAACTCCATGTTAATCTAATAGAGATGGACACTAGTCTACTGTCTCTTGTTTTTCTCTCAGACTGTTTTACATGCAAAACTCGTGTCGTCTGATACATCATGTTATCTGAATATAATCCATGTTAGTACAGGAAGGTGATGAAGGCAAAAATGAAGATTTCATACAACGCTACTTTTTCGTTCTGTGTTTTTCTGAAGAAAGAAATAACTCTGAGCTTACTTTTGCTAAAGTAGTGCCAACGGTCCATCTGATCTTAACCTAGGAGTTGGTAAGAAAGCAGCAACAACACAGAGCAGATTCTCGAGTGCAACAAAGTCCAACGAGCCTCACGACTCCTGCACTCTCACAGAAAAACAACATGAATCGAACCAACGCAATCCCAAGATTCCTGATAAAGAACAAACGTCCCATTCATTAAGACAAGAATGGAGTGAATAAGCTCATAGAAAAAGCAACAAAGCCGAGGGTCAATCAAAACAGCCTGAATGCAGTGGTCAGTTGTGGTAATCACATGGCGAGAGGGACCGTTTTCAATGCTTGTTATGTGTTTAGAGGAAGATACGAGCAGGAAGGATGAGTCTTCACCTCATCTTCAGGATGTGTGAACGATGACAGCGAGATTAGGATTTTGTATAGTTTCATACTCGGCTGAGGTCAGAGCTCTGTGCAGACGAGTCAGATTCTTTACCCCCAAACTGGGAGGTTCAAGATTTTGTCCCACTTGGGAGAAATTGATTTGCAGCCAGGTTTAACGTCCATCTAATAGACACAAAGAAAAACTGACTGTGACGACAACACACTGAAAACAAAGCGCTAGAACAAGGAATGGAAGTTCATGCACAAGTACAAAAGTGCCACTGTACAGATGTAGTACAACAGTACTAGTGGGCCGATATGCAACGTACAAGGAATTGCAGGGAATGCATCTGAAGTAATATCTGCCATAAAGCATCTCAATAACTGGAGGGATATAGGAGACATGAGGCTTCTACGTCCCACAGGCTGAAGTCCTGAGACGCCGACCCGAGGCCAATAACTCTGGAGTGGAAGGTCCTGACAACACAGGATTGTCAAAAAGAAATGACTTGTCTGTGAAGGAGCGTTGTCTTGTTTTACTCTCCTCCTTTTTCTCGACTTAATGTTTGTAACTGACATCGAAGCAAATTCATAGTAAGTAGAAAACATGTTAATAAATCTAGTGTGAAGGATTTATTCACCTTCAGTCTGATGATGCTGCTTGACTCAAGTTTACACTGTGTATACTTATCTGCACTGTTTGTGTCTGTACTTGTGTGTCTGTACTGTGTTGTGTGTCTCTGTGCTGTGTGTCTCTGTGCTGTGTGTTTGTGCCTGTACTGTTTGCATGTCTGTGTGTCTGTGCCTATGCTGTCTGTGCTGTGTGTCTGTACTGTCTGTCTGTGCTCTGTGTAGTGTGTCTGTGCTGTGCTGTGCTGTGTGTGCAGTGTGTCTGTACTGTGTGTCTGTGCTGTGTATGTGCTGTGCTTTGTGTCTGTGCTGTGTGTGTAGTGTGTCT